ACATTTTTTAAATTTTTGTAATGCTATTGTAATTACTTTCGAACCAATGAATGTAGCCTAGTCAATTATGTAAATAGTGTTGATCTGTGATAATAAGAATTATTTAAAGTTAGTATAGATACATTTTAAGATTTTTTTAATATTATTTTTTTTATATTTTGTAATGCTATTGTGATTACTTTCAAACTGAACCAATGAATGTAGCCTAGTCAATTATGTAAATAGTGTTGATCTGTGATAATAAGAATTATTTAAAGTTAGTATAGATACATTTTAAGATTTTTTTAATATTATTTTTTTTATATTTTGTAATGCTATTGTGATTACTTTCAAACTGAACCAATGAATGTAGCCTAGTCAATTATGTAAATAGTGTTGATCTGTGATAATAAGAATTATTTAAAGTTAGTATAGATACATTTTAAGATTTTTTTAATATTATTTTTTTTATATTTTGTAATGCTATTGTGATTACTTTCAAACTGAACCAATGAATGTAGCCTAGTCAATTATGTAAATAGTGTTGATCTGTGATAATAAGAATTATTTAAAGTTAGTATAGATACATTTTAAGATTTTTTTAATATTATTTTTTTTATATTTTGTAATGCTATTGTGATTACTTTCAAACTGAACCAATGAATGTAGCCTAGTCAATTATGTAAATAGTGTTGATCTGTGATAATAAGAATTATTTAAAGTTAGTATAGATACATTTTAAGATTTTTTTAATATTATTTTTTTTATATTTTGTAACGCTATGGTGATTACTTTCAAACTGAACCAATGAATGTAGCCTAGTCAATTATGTAAATTGTGTTGATTTGTGATAATATGCAAAGACTGTTGTTAATACTTTTGTGTTGAATGTAAAACGTTTAGAACCTGATTTTGAAAATAAAAGCAAATAAAAAGTTTTGGCTGTCTAATTTTATTGTATTATTTAGTTCAAAAACAAATTTCCATTCGCAATGTAAAACTATGGTTTTAGCAAGCTTTTATTAGCGGTGACGACTGGGATGATTTCTAAGTGGAATCCCATTCGTCACCTGGGGGTGACATATGGGATTTTTTTTCAATATAATTCCCACTTGTCACCGGAGGGGACAAAGCTTGGGGTGACGAGCGGGAATAACCGCAAAGTTGTGATGGATGGCGCTGTCATCGAAAATCATCAAAATATTTATTTTTGTATTTCTATAAAACACGCTTATTATAATATTGATTGATTTAAAAATAAAAAATCCCTGATCATTTCAACTACAGACATTCAAATTCTACTAAGTATAAGTACTTATTATTGCTAACAATATTAATATTATAATGTTTTATCTTCACCCCTAAATTTACCTATTTACAATATGAACAATTTAGTTATTAAGCTTCTATACACGCCAAATTTTAAAATATCTTTTCTATTTCTTTTTAAATGTTACCCCACATTGGGATTTTCTCCTGTGTAGTGAGTGCCTTTACAAACATACAAGTTAACATACATATGACAATGACACCCAGATCCGGAACAAGAATTTGTGGATCACACAAATACTTGCTCCGTGCGGGAATCGAAATCGCGACACGTGCAAACTGTGCAATCTAAACATAATACATTAGCTAGTTAGTATATTCTAATGTAGGTATTCTTTACACTACAATTATCAGTAGCAACAAAGATTGTCCTCACGTTAGTCAGGTCGGTCAGTCGACTTTAAGCCACACTAGCGCCTCTAACGGTGCGAAAATCCATTTTTTTTGTAAGTATTAAAATATTCTCCTCCATTGCAAACAGGCTCAAGTATCACATAACTATATGTAACTTTAACCTTTAAACGTTAAGTAATAAGGCTCAATTTACTACTAACTTTATGCTCTTACTTCAGTTAATTTACGAATGAACACAATAATGTGTTCCTGAAGTCTACAAATATCGAGGTTTTTATGTAAATATCCTCATTTTTTAATATTGAAACTGATTCAATACTTTTCGGAGGGAAGACCAATTATTAAATTATTGTGAACACTGTGATGTATAAATAAGAATATAAATAAATTATATTTTTTGATTAGATAATAACTTGAAAATATATTTTCATACGAATAATAGTCGACACAATAGTTTTCTTTTTATAAAAAAAGAGTTCAAATTCAAGGGTCAAAATACCAACAATAAAGCCGGTTGCAGACTAAGACCTTGTCCACAAAGGGCGAATTCGCCGCGAATCGCGCGAAATGATTCGCGCGTTAGTGAGATAACTAGAAGCAATACATCGCGTCCACAAGCATCGCGCGAATTCATAATACGCGCGTAAATCGCGTGCACTACGCCAGACTCTCGACTCGCGCTTAATTCGCAGGTATTGCGCGCGAGTTGAGATACTAGAGACGCCTTGTTCCGTCCAGTTAACGCGCGAACTTTAGAGCGAGCGTTTAACTCCATGTTTCGTACTGAATGAATTCCTCCCCAAATGCTCGCGCGTTGGCACATAGGTACCTTGTGGACGAAACGGTCGCGCGTAAAACGCGCAAGAGAATCGCAGCAAATTCGCCTTTTCTGGACAAGCTCTAAGAGCTCAGCTAATTTAGCTAAGCTTAGATTGCACAGCCGACGCAGTTTTTCATACCTGTGTGCAGACCGCAAACTAAGCAACATGAATAGAAAACTGGTTCGGTTACGGCAACTAAGCAAATTGACTTAGCTTAGCTCTCGATCTGCAACCGGCTTTAGAGTCTAAGTCCGTCTAAATGTATGATGAAATAATAGAAATAAAATAAAAAAAATCAATGCAAAATAACAATTTATTCTGGTACTTAAAACACCTTTCCAATCACACTGTTTTTATATTTTTAAGGAAATCAAAATTACTTTTAAATACTAATTAAAACACCACCAATTTGCCTACTGTTAAATGCTTGTCAAATTATGTTTTTAAATATTTTTTTACCAGCTATCATAAAGTAAAAAACTAAATCACAAAGAAAAAAAACAATTCGTTCCTTTTTCAAAATAAATTAGTGCAACAAAATGCAACGAGTGTATTTTTACAAAATAATTATAATTATAAATCGAAAATACATTTTTTTTAACTTCTACTAGATTGTAAATAAATTACAATTTGAAAATAAAAGCTAAAAGTATTTAGTATCACAGGAGGTAGGATTGACCAGCCAATTTAGAAAAAAATTAAAACAATATTGATAAACATATTACCTACTCGAGAAATAACAATGCTTCAAAAATAAATATACACGGAAATTAAAAAGGCTTCATATCAAAATTACTATTTAGATTGGTTTTTTGACCTTCATTTAGTTTCAGAAACAAAATCGACTGAAATTCTCATATTTCATTATTATGTTTTTCGATTCACTCGCGTAACTGTTTGGCGAGAAACTCGACTAGTTTCAAACCAAGCAGTATTCCGCGGACGCGACGCGGGGACTGTCGCGCTGCCCGTGAATATAAGCCTCTAGCATGGCTTGAAACTTGTCGAGTTCCTCGTCAAACAGTTACGTGAGTTAGTCAAAAAACATAGTAATTAAGTCAGTTTGTACCACCAAAGTTATAATGTCATCTAAAAAATAAACTATGAAATAAAATTATTCAGTTCCACAAAATTAAAAAAAAAATCTGAATTTATTTTCGTATACAATTATTACACATAGGACACCTACTAAACAAATACAAGAGATATTTTTATTTAAATTAAAGAACCCCTAGGGTGGGGAAACGACTTTTTTTTTAAATAAGATTAAAAATAAATTAACTTTTAAGGCAAGTCCAATATCTCTCCAAGTTTACAAGTGCGACTGCTGACCGTGTTGTCCTGTGTTGCCTTCCCAGGTCTGGCAATTCGGGTCACTTGGAGCATTGTTATCTCGCTAGGAGCAAAAAAGAAAAATATTTTACCTTACCAAAAATAATTTTTAAAATACATTCATAATACTGACGACACAACCTTAACGTACAAAATAATTTTTATGAATAGCAATCTGTTTGTCGTCTCTCAATAATGTTACGAAATTATCCAGGGGCGGATCTGTCTGTGAGGGTTTTGGGGTGCAACCCAGAACTCGAGAGTTAAAAGGAGCCCGTAGATAAAAAAGCACCCCAAATGCATTGAAGACAGAACTAAACTTAAATGAACGGTGGGCTCATCGACATGTTCCTGGGCCCCAAAATACACAGATCCACCTCTGTGTATACTTATAACTTCTGGGTGCAACCAAGATGATGGTTTTGGCCTGATACTCAAACGCCACTAGATTTTCAAGTAACATATATCGACACATTTGTGAGTGAATTATACGACAGTAATGTGAAGAATGTTTTCGGTATATTTTATAATAATTATGGTAATAGCTGCCCAGAGATCACGCGTTACCTACGGGTCATTCAAAGTCAAAGTTAAAATCAATTATTTCAATTAGGCCAGAATGGAACTTTTGAACGTCAACAAAAAAAAAATTAAAAGCTACATTCACATGGCCATACAGTTATGCGAAGTGTTTTAATAATTATTTTATGTTCGGTGATCGTATTACTAAAAGTAAACAATTAGATATGTATTTGCAATTTGAAATTAAGTTGTGTATGAGTGTGCCTGAGTGAGTGGTGTTTGAGTACGCGGCTTTCACAACTTTAATACATCTGTGTGACAAAATTAGGGCCAACCCTAAGGAACTAGGTTTGAAACTGCGATTTAAGTAAATAGCTTTGTAATGTCCTATACTTATCACATAAAGAAGACTACATGAACAAAAAAAATGTTTAATTAGGTTTTTAAGCCTACGACCTATACATGGAAAACCTCATGCCAGGATCCGCGGAAACGCTTGTAAGTAGGTATTATTTTCTATGTTGTTTCCTATATTAAATACCTAGTCCATTCTATCTAGATAAAGGGAATCCCTTATCTGACTGCGTTCTCCGAATTCCCAGGGGCCCCTGAATTAATAATTGTCCGTCGTGAGTACTCGAATGTCTGCTTAGACCACCCCTATTTATTACCTAGCGGGATATGCGGGCCATCGTGAAAAGCCTGTAGTCCGCCTACAGGCCTGTTGTAATCACATTTATTTTAGGCCCGCTTCAAAGCTACTAAGGTCCGTCACTGCTTTACTGCATTGAGTAGCCACGTCCTCAACTTATTCTGATATCATGCTTTATAGGAGAAACTAAAGCAACTAACTACCAAACTGTACAAAGGAGGACGTCATAGTAATCCAGTCATTTCGTGTGTGTTTATCCAGAATGCAGCAGGGGCCCCAGAATCCATATCTCCTTGTACGCTACACAAATATTTGATGAGACCACCTCCATCTTTCCTACTGCTACTCAGATCCATCTCTGATTTACTCCATTGGGAAGTCACGTCCTCATATAAGCCACAAGGTAGTTTATGATGCTTTATATAGGAAAGGTCCTAAAGCGTCTTACTACCAAGATGAATAAATAGCTCTAAAACATTACTACCTAGGACCTAAATGTACAAAAGGAGAGGATTTCTCAGATCCATGTTGCTTTTGTCCTGTTTTTTTATTAATGCAGCACCAGGTGTCCTTGGATTGAAGGCTGTAGCTCATCTTCGGGCCTATTGTGAACACATATATTTTTGTCACCCACCTCAATGCTACTCAGGTCCATCTCTGCGTTACTGCATTGAGTAGCCACGTCCTTATTAACCCTCTGAAGTATACCGAAGTATTTTATGATGTTTTCGTTTAAACGATCTTATAACCTCGATGTATAGAGGAGGACGTCATAGCAACCCAGTCAATCTTCCAGGTTCAGTACTTGGGGCATCTAGATCAAGGTCCTTGTCGGGCACTACTCGAATGTCTGCTAACACCACCTTCATTTTCGTAAGGGGTTTGCGGGTCATTGTGAAATGCTTGGGCCTGTAGTCTCAAACTACACAACTATAGACCAGTTGTAATCACATATACTTTGGGCCCGCTTCAAAGCTACTCAGATCCATTGCTGCTTTACTGCATTGAGTAGCCACGTCCTCAACTTATTCTGATCATGCTTTATAGGAGAAACAAAATCAACTAACTACCAAACTGTACAGAGGACGTCATATTAATCCAGTATTTCGTGTGTGTTTATCCAGAATGCAGCAGGGGCCCCAGAATACAGCAGGGGCCCCAGAATCAACAGCTCCTTGTACGCAACACAAATATTTGATGAGACCACCTCCATCTTTCCTACTGCTACTCAGATCCATCTCAAATCCATGTTGAGAGGATTTCTCAAATCCATGTTGCTATTATCCTGTTTTTTTTTTATTAATGCAGTACCAGGTGTCCTTGAATTTAAGGTTTCTTGTCGGGCATGTCCGGCCATTGTGAAAAGGCCTGTAGTTCATCTTCGGGCCTATTGTGAACACATGTATTTTTTAGGCCCACCTCAATGCTACTCAGGTCCATCTCTGCGTTACTGCATTGAGTAGCCACGTCCTCATTAACCCTCTGAAGTATACCGAAGTATTTTATGATGTTTTCATTTAAACCATCTTATAACCCAGATGTATAGAGGAGGAGGACGTCATAGCAACCCAGTCAATCTTCCAGGTTCAGTACCTGGGGCATCTAAATGTATGTTTTTGTCTAAAAATTGGGTTCAATTGCATTGCTTTTATTTGTAGGTCTCCTAAGGTCGCTTCCAATATATAGAGAGAAGAGAAAAGAGAAGCTGGAATAAGACTTCTAGACTTGGTAAATAAGTCGTCACATACTCCTAAGCGTTTAGGTACCTGTTATAATGTTACCTATTATTGACAACTTCCTAGATTCCGTTAGAGTTAGTCGCTATTTTAACCACCGAGACGTCCACTGGCATGAGGTCATACAATAGGTCGCAAGTCTGAAATTTATGGCAAAAAATATATCTACACATTGCGTTTGCAAGGTATATTTATAAATACTTGATTCAAATTGATAACAAAAACATAGATTTTTAAGTTTGTTTAATAATAGTATCCCCCAATAGAGGCTCTGACCAAAAGGTACCTTATTAGGTAATTCCTTATCAAAAATCACAATGAAATTAGTACGAGTACTACCGTAATTCAATAATAATAACATCGTAATATCATGTTACACTTATTCAACAAGGACTAGCCTACTCGTCACCAAAAAGGATAACTTCTAAAAATGCACCAATCAAATCATCACAAAAACATTGTGCTAGAACGTCTTATGTCTATACTTATGCACACAATTATCAACCTTAGTAGTTTAACGATAGAGTTCAACATCTAACCTATCTATGTACACACATTTACAGATTAAATATAATATTTTATTTAATTTTTCACTTGAGGTCTTCCTCTTCGTCTTCGACGTACAATAAGTCTTCCATTTTTGTCATAAACTTACTGTTTAGTTCCTGTTCTACTGGTAGAGGGGGACTCTGGAAATGTAAATTAAAAATGTCGACGTCAAACACCTATTTCATTTTAAAAAGTAGACATAATACAATTTTTTTTCAATATTTGTTATAAAGTCAAGTTTATTAGACACTTTTTTTAAGGGGGGAAAATCATCGAATGACTGCTCCCGCCTGAGTGAGGCGGGAGGGAGTGTCAGACTCTTACTGAGTAAAAACCACCCCGTTCCTACTCCTGCACTTCGACCCGGAGCCCCGGCAACCCGTTAGGTTCTTCGCGACTCCGTTTATTTACATGCCAATTTTGTATTAAAAATTAGTGTTTTTCTTTTCGTGGTTCGTACGCTATATGTATGAGAATCGAGATTTAAAATTGGCGAATAAGAAGGAATACCTTTATATTACAATACGATGAAACAATTACACATCTATCTTTGATAAGCTCCTGTATAGGTTAAACTGAACGCTCCCGAAACGCCGACCAATAGAAATTATTTTTACAATTTTAATTGTTTTATTTTCGTGTTATTCGTGTAAGGAGTTCATTACAAATATCTATATCTTATCTAATATAAATAAAAATGAAACCCGTTTCCCGTTGTCGCGCCATAACTTGAGAACGGCTAGACCGATTTGGCTGATCTTTTTTTTGTTGTTTGTTATCGTCAGGAGAAGGTTCTTATGACCAAAAAAACTCCTGAAAATCCTAGTGGAATGGGGGAGAAACGGAATTGCGAGTACGAAGTCGCGGGCAGAAGCTAGTTATTACATAAAAGAAAAATTTAATTCTTTACTTTTATAACAATAAAACTCGTTTTTTACCAATACATGTCGGCGATTCTCGGGAGCGTACCGTTAGCACTCTGTATAACATTTTGAGGATCATTTATGCCCATTTTTTAAATCACCATGCACGACCTAAAACCTACGCAATAATTTGTTAAAAATAATAGTTTTATCAAGATTAGAAAATAAATAAAACGGAGCATGCTTTCCAACGAATTTATTAAGCAACACAAAGTGAGTTTACAAACAAATAGGCGGTGTTAACTAAAATTTATATATAGATATATGTAACTTTTGACAATATTCCAACATATACCATACATATTATTCAATCAACATAATTTCTACCACAAATATCATCTTTACAGGGTCCGGTAAATTTGTAAAAACATCGATAAAAGACCTTGGAATATTGTCAGAAATATATTAAAAAATATAAGCGAAAACAAACAAACATTTACATGCATAAGACGAAACATATTTGACAGCTTTTATATCGTTTAGTTTAAATAAAAGTAACATGCATTCCTGAATTATTTCTAGTAAAAACATGCTTAACCTTTAATCGCCACGGTCGGTTACAGACGATAAACACTATGTACCTTAAAATGTCATTTTCTTGTCATCTATCTATAGGCGACCGTCGCGAATAAAGATCAAGCATGTTTTGAGTTAAGTTAAAAGGCATTAGAAGACTTAAACTCATGCAATAAGGCTCATTTTCCTGTAAAACCCTGAACATAAATAGACACACAAACATGATTACAACATGCAAAAATCAAATAAATTTTTTAAATACAAATATCGAACACACAAACTGTAAAAGCAACACGTTACATTAAAACACACATGGCAATACCGTAATGGGGTTACCAGATTACAAAAATTGAAATATTTTGGTAGAAAACGGTGGTAACAATTTTTTGCAACTTTTATATGAATGGAAATATTATTTTAAGGGCCTATTTCACATTATCCGGTTAATCATTAATAATCTATCGACTACAAAAAAAATATCGACGAGTGAGCTACACACATACGAAATGTGTGAGTTCAGTTAAATAAAAATTTAGTCAAGTATATTGAAATAGGCCCCGGGTATCTATTTCAATAAAAAAATGGGAATTTATATTTAGAATATGGCTCTTTTCACATGTTCCGGTAGCTAACAACTAGACAGCCCGACGGCCAACTGTATATACCATCTGCAGATCAATTTACTGCAATCTATCAATATTATTCATTTGATTTTCCACTTTATATCAAAACAAAAAGGTTGAAAACCGAATAACGAAATTTCACAGAAAGGAGTAACTTGACCTACTTGTAGTACGGTTAACTGACAACAGGAGAATATAAAAAGCGTTGTACCATTATAACATGCATAACGAGTACCTTCAATAATGGAAATATAGCACATTGTGGCTAAATTATGGTTAATTCTAATTAGAACAAATAGTTGGCACACGATTATTAAATAAATAATTTTAATTCATTAATATAATATTAACAACAATTCGTTGAATTTTTAATAATGAGGTTGAATCATATTCACCTTTTAACCTTAAGGTATAATAAAACTTTCGACCTTTAACAAGTTGGCAATATTATTAGGTAACTGTGGCTTTTCCTACCATTAAAATTTAAAAAAAATCGGTTCTAATAGAAAACGTAATCATATTAAAATTAAATAAATAATCTCTTTTTGTATGTTTGGTATAATATATACCCCAATAAAATGGGGTAGTCAAAGGGTAAATGGAGATAAATCGTCAATTAAGCTTCAATACAGTACTCACGATATAATCCAATCACTGAGTTATGAAAAATGTTAACAGCCTATCATGGCCCAATATTATGGAATCTGTGACCACTAAACCATAAGGATTGTACTACTCGAAAAAAAACACCGTAAACGAAACAATAAACCGATCCATAATATAATGGTAATATAGGTCTTTGTTACAAATACGACTTAATTTATGTGAAAAACTAGATGTAATGTTTAAATATCCTTTACGAATAATCTTTCTCTATTCCCCCTCCATTTACCCCCATTTTACGGCCCCAACTTGGTAAATAAATAACGGTTTTAATAGTGAACAAAAGCCACATAACAACAGATTTCTTTTTAAAATATCATAGATGGCACTCAACAGTCAAACAGGCGTTATATAAACACCTTTATAACAACTTAACAATTTAAATTCATAAAATCACAGAAACATTACCCAGATATTTATATAACTATTACTTGGTTGATTATTATAAAATATCTTTGTCAAAAAGTGTGTAATAAGAAGAGAATCGATATCTTTTTAACTACGAGTTTAATTTACGTTAAAGTATTCGAAACGAGTACGCGTTAAGCGCTCTGATTGGTCAGCACAAATGAACCAACCAATCAGAGCGCCAAGCACGAATAACTATCGCATTCGTATCGTAACAGTATCGAGCGCGTTCGACGTTCTGATTGGCCGGCTCCAGTGAACCAACTAACACTCAGAGCGCCAAACGCGTACCCGTTACGATTACTTTATTCGTAAAACCAACTCGTACTAAGGCCTCGGTTCTAGCTAATCGCTTCTAGATTCTAAAAAGTATGGATAAGATAGTCAAAAGATTAGCCGATTGATTGTTTGACGGCTTTCACTGCGTATGGGTCATATTTATGAGTCCCGTTGTGACTCGAAATTAGTAGAGTTTAATTCGAATAGTTCACGTTAGTAGACTGTATATTTTATCAATCAAAGATCATTAATATAGAACCTTATTGTTATTTAACTAATTTATGTTTATGCACTTCGGTAGATATCGATTCCCTTCTCTATATTACCATGGACATAAGAAGTATTTACTTGGATTACTAAAAATATATTTATTATTAATTCAAGTTGATGTGGAATGTTGCGGGAGAGGCCCTTGCGCAGTCCCAGTAGTGGGGCTTCACACGCTAATGAAAGAGAATAAAGATATTTATGTTAATATTATTTATTCTAACTTATATGGAAGAGGAGAGGTTTCATGTCCTCTGTCTTTCTCTAAAACTCTACAGAATAACTGCATTGAATCTGGTGTACCCTTTTTTGTAGAATTATCATTAGTGTGAATCAGAAAAAGTTATAAGAAATAACCAATAGTGTTTTTATAGAATAGGGGGCAAATGAGCAGACGGATCAACTGATGGTAAGTGATCATGGATAGTTGCAATACTAGAGGGCTAAATAACAGAGTGCTAAGCACCAATAACTATTGCATTCGTAACGTAAAAGTACTGAGCGCGTTCGACGCTCTAATTGGCCGGCTCCGGCGAACCAATTAATCAAAGTCCTTAGTACGAGTTTCATTTCCGTTTAAAGTATTCGTAACGAGTACGCGTTCGGCACTCTGATTGGCCGGCGCCAATGAAGCAACCAATCAGAGCGCCGAACGCGTACTCATTACGATTATTTTAAACGTAAAATAAACTCGTATTAAGGCCTCAGAGCGCTGTGCGTGGCAGTCTGTTTGTTTTACATATAGCGAGATGGAAACTCGCTCAGAAGTCTGATTGGCTGGTTCATTGAATCAGACCAATCAATAGGGGCTAACGTTGCTATGTTCACTAGATGTCGCAAATGTAGCAAGGGGCATTTTGTCAATCACAGTAGCAGTCAAATATTGAAAGTCCAATGGTGTGACACTAACTAATTCCCTATTGGAAGAAGAACGAGGAGGGCACTAGCGTCATCTGGTTAGTTAATTGAAATAAATGCTTTGACTTTAACCAAACTCTTTGTTGTTAATAAGAATTCCAAAAATCTACTAACACTTGGATTTAAGAACCCATGAACCTGATAAGGTATTGTTTATGTAAATTTTATTAATCAGAGGGCTAGAAGCGGTAACGTTGCGATTATTTCAAACGTAAAACAATATCGTACTAAGGCCTTAGAGAAATCACAAGCGCCTGACCAATTATTAAATATCAGGAAATAGGACCAAATACGGGAGATATAAACTATGTAGTAATTTTATAAAAATCAACCAAGTAACAAAAAGGGGCTAAAGATCACAGTAATAGAGACACGCTAGAAGTATTAAAGCTTGTGCAAAGTAGGGTGGGCAGAGTTTAAGTTAAGAGAACCGCCGCGACGGTGTCATAGTCCAATACTTGTTTGGACGTGTCGGATCTAGGCACTTGAATGCAGACTGAAATAAATTATATTCTTTATAATACTTATAATACTGTCACTTTATAACCTATAGTAACTATGTACGACATTGTATTAAATATTAGACCAGTTAAGTTGCAAGTTCTATGTAATAAAAAAATCGATGCTAAATGTTATAAATGATTGTAATTGTGAATAGTAAAGGTTCGATAATACTCTACCCAGTGCCTTTTGCCAAACGCCACTTTAGCGCTTGTCTACAGAGAAAGTAGAAAACTAAATGTATGGGGATGACACTGACAAGTGTCAAAATTTACGTCAATTCCATATAATTTGGTTTTCTATTCTACATGTAGACAAGCGCTAAATGGCATTTGGATACAGCTGCAGGCCAGGAATCGAACCCGAAACCCACTCATCAGTCGTTACCAGGTATTAATCAAAGACTTGTTAGGACGGCGGCAAAGTTATAAAAATCTATTATACGTTGCTATCGAAGTATCGACATTGAGTATGTAATTCAGTATAAGCTAAAATTTACAATTTTGGAATAAACCTTTAAAATGTTAATAAATAACATGCAATTTAAATAAACATGCAAGCATGCAGACCATACATAAGTAATGTTAAACTACACATATGAAGAACCAATAATCCTATATCGTTCCCAAAAACTATTCTACACCATAACTCAATCATTGGGTACGTGCTAACTAGTCAAATTCAATACTTTTTTCGAACTGTCAAAAACGACAGTTTTCTATGGCATTTGTACGCGATCGTGTATTGTGACGTCACGTTTTTTTAGCGTCAAACATTATATACTTATTTCTTAATAATTTGCTGGAAAAATACTACAACTTAAGTTGGTCATAAAATCAATTAATGATAGTGTGATTATTTTTTAATATTTTATCGTATTGACCAGTCGAAATAATGTATTTTTGATTAAGGAAGGTACCCAATTACATTAAGTATTCTGATCCTAATTTTTAAGCTATAAAATTGACTATTTAATGGTAAATAACTACGTATAATTTTATGAAAGTAATGCATACTACAAACAAATAAAGTTGAAACTCCTTTGACAAATATCTAACTATACAATACCTATCTACACTTTTAACAGACACTTTTAGCCAAACGAAAAAAAACCTAACCAACGAAAGAATAAAGTTGAAATTCTAATTAACAAGTGTGAATATACTCACGGCTGGGTCGATGCGTGGGAAGGGGGCTAAGCAGATAAGTAGGACGGTCATGTTATCACAGCCGAGTCCGCCGGTGGCGCAGTTTGGTGCGAGGCAGCGCTGCATTAGTGCTTCGCAGACTGCTGCCGGCTCCCAACCGCTTAGTAGGCGTACACGACAGAATGATATCACCTCCTGTAATTATTGAATATTTTTTTTTAAGTAAGTAGACCAAAGCATGAACATAACAAGTTTTAAGAGACATACAGAGACGTAAATTATTCTTTTAAGTTGCATTTTTCTTCATATTTCTAAAATTATCTATGATATAGGTAAACTGTTTTTTTTAATCAGTTCATCTGTTTGGTTTACCAAGGACTTTTATAATAATTCTTTTATAAAGATAATTATTAACAAGTTAATTAAAGCTATCTTACCTCATTGGACAAGACCTCCCAGATTCCGTCGCAGGCTATCACTATGAACTCCCAGTCGTCGTTCAACTGCCTCACTTGTACGTCTGGGAACGCTGAAGAAACAAAAATAATAAAATATTTAATCAACCAATCGCAAAAGGGACGCAGGCGTCGTAAAAGTCGGAAAAAAGAGACCGGGCGACAGTGATCTTTGATTAAGCTGAACTTTTTAAATTGCAATGTGATCTTAACATATCAAGGGTGGAGATAATGGCTCAGTCAAAGCATTTATTTCAATTAAACCTTAATTTGGTACTTTTGGAACGTCAACAAATACAAAATTATAAGTCTTTCAGTCAGTGAAGCTAGGTGCTCATTCCAAAATGTAGATTCGAATGGAGAAGAACGAGCAACAAACTCCATATGTAGAGAGAGGCCCATAGATTTCCAACGGACTGTCATTGGCCGTTGGTTGATGATTATAATGAACTTGGAAAGATTACATGAACGACCAACCAACCTATTATGTACAAAAGGCTCATAATCCAATAGTAGACTAATATTAACCAATTATGACATACATACATCACGCTTATCATGCACGAGGGTGCGGTTTCGAAACCTGCCAACGGCAAATACCAACGCGATTTTTCCGATTTATTTATACTTTCTAAGATTATTTTATTTAGACACCACTGACAAACAGTGAAGGAAAACATTGTGAGGAAATCTGGACTTATACTTTCTAATTATAAGTTTGAAATCGCCAACCTGCAATGAGCAAGCGTAGTGATCAATGCTCAAACCTTCTCCGTGTGAGAAGAGGTTTTTCTTAGCAGTGCTGCACTTATAGGCTGTTCATGTGTCGCGGAGAACCTAACCGGGGCTCCGGCTCGACGTGCAGGAGAAGGAACGGGGTGGTTTTTAGTCAGTAAGAGTCTGACACTCCCTCCCGCCTCACCCAGGCGGGAGCAGTCATTCGATGATGTTCTCTCTTAAAAAAAAGGCTGTTCATGTATGAATATAAATAGAACACAACAAACCTGTTACAATTTGTTCCTGCGGCGACAGTCTGTAGTTCCTCTTGAAGACATAGTCCCCTAGTGCCCTGGACAGCGCGAGGTTCCCGTTGACCCTGTTGAGCTGCACCCAGCCTCCACCAGCCGTGATACGACGGAGCTCCTCCTCGTTGTTCGGTTTGTGGTCATATGATAATACTTCCACCTGGATAGGGAGATTATAAGATGAGTAAAGTCTTAGCTTAATTTAGGTAGGTTTCAGACGATTCAACAAAAAATAAAATACCAAAAATTTTTACTTTTCCTCCTGGTATACCGAACGTAGATCTAAGAGAGATGAAATGTATTTTCTATTGTCTCATATACCAACTTAATGACTCAACACCCAGAAATCGAACCCCTTCTTGATCCAAAGTCGCATTAGTGGCCACTCGACCACCGAGGCAGTCATGCACAGGTAAGATAGGTAATATCATTTTCTCTTTGAGTTTAAAACTAACAACACAATAGGTCTTCATCAAATCTAATCCCCAGAAGCTACTCACCGTGCCCCTAACGCTGGCAATAGCTCTGGAATCCCCAACGTTGGCGCAGTACAGGGTGTTGTCCTTCACGAGCACCACCACCGCCGTGCTGCCTGCTACCTTCGTCTGCAGCATATCTTCCTCCAACATCGCCTGGTCTAGGTCTAGGAAACCCTGGAAAAAATAAACATCTCTTGTTAAACGATATAATCGCATGTTCAACATAATTTAAAAAGTAACTGAACGTCACACTCGGATTTTCTCAGAATTTAAGTGCGGGAGAGCCATGCTTCAACACGAATGGGCCGTTTCAACCGAAGTGATACCACGGTCTCACAGAAAACCGACGTGATACAACGTTTGCGCTATGTTTCGTTGTGTGAATTAGGTTACCAGAGGCCCAATTCCCCCTCCCCCCCCCAATCTTCCCAATCCTCAAATTCCTAATCCCCAAATGGTCGGTAACGCATTTGTAATACCTCTGGTGTTTCGAGTGTCCATGGCCGGTGCTGATTGCTTACCATCAGGTGGTCCGTCTGTTCGTTAACCGGCTTATTCCATAAAAAATACATTTTAATCTCTGATAGAGTAAACGAAAGGGATATTGAAATGTATGTCACTATTTCCTCGTTATGTGTATAAGTGCCATTCAGTAAGAGATTTATTACTGAACAGTGGCTGCACATAAATAACTTATAAAAAAAATAACCAATGACACTTTAACTATGTCGGCTTACCCACGTAACTGTGACGAGGAATGCACGGCTTGAAACTAGTCGAGTTCCTTGTTACGCGAGTAAATCGAAGAAGGGAATCGAACTCAAGACCTGGGCAATTACACGAGGTTGGTTAAAAAACGCCAACAAACTTAACCCGTCACACAAAAAAAACTAAAAATCCAATTATAATTACAAGGATCGCTTCTAAGTATACCTCTAAAATAAAAATACATAAAGGAATAATTACAACGCCAATACTACATACTTGGCACAATACCAGCCTAATTAAAAACAACGGCTTGGAATAAAAAGCCGCACCCTTAATTATCATACACGAATAATATTACAAATATCAAATATTTCATAGTTTGTATATTTGTTTGTGTTGAATAAGCTTTGAAGCTACTGAACAGTTTTGAGTCGTTCTTATACCATTGGAAAGTTTACTTTTTAAGAAAAAATATGGATGGACTATATTTTTTATTGCAATGCTGGGGGCGTGGCCTAGCTTCGCTCGTGTGCTATTTGCCAATGTTTACGGTGAATGTGTCAGATTTACAAGACTGTTGTTAATCTGACACATATAAATTTATTATATCTAATTTGTTCAATCGGTTCAGGAGTTATGCGCGAACATAAAATCATATCGGAAATTCATTTTTATTTACATAGATTCTCATAATAGATGAGAAAAATGTTTTAAATAGGGTAGAAACCTTACTTTAATGTCAGTCTCGTAGATTATTTGAAAACATTAGACATGTGTATGTTTAATTTTCTTACAAAAACGAATGCCTTTGACGATATATGTATTGATTTGAAATGTCACGTGACGTCATTTCTATGTACATTTTATATGTAGAAATGACGTTTTAGCTCCTCAACTTTGATTTGTTTAAAGTATTGTTTTCATGAACGATTTTTTCATGACATAACTTATGGTCTAAATAGATTTTTAATTTTCATACCCCGTCATCATCCCTATTCCAAGCGGGCGAAACCGCAGGAGGAAAGTTAGCGTGTGTACTGTGTATAATTAAATATTTTGTTACAAAACACCATGAAACGAACGCCAAGGGCTAGAAAGAAACGCTTGTACTTTACTTGGTCAAGTTTATGAAGCTAATTTTATACACGTCATTAGCTAGGGTTGTTGCGTAGGGGAAATTAATGAGGAATTTTATTTTCATGACATTACTTTAGGGGTTTGATGTTTTTGTTAGGGTAGTAGGTAAGGGGTGCGTTTACATATTATGTAGAACAATTTTGTCTTTAGATGTGTATCACCCGATCAATAGTAACAGTAGTTTTGCATATTGCACTTAAGAAAATATAGTTACAGACTTGAGACATAATGAACGGTTAAAATTAACATCTCATCTTCTATAATATTTTATGGATTCATTGTAAAAATGAACGTAACTTAACATCACTTGTTCGACAATTATAAGTGTCTGTGTGTGTGTGTGTGTGTGATCGGTAGACCTATTGCCATAAACAGGACTCAATTACTTATAGGTAGAAAAAATAAAAAGAAAACGTTAAAATCCAAAATCTTCTAAAAATAAGTAATTAACATAACATAACATCACGCCTTTTATCCCGAAGGGGTAGGCAGAGGTGCACATTATGCCACTGTACAATGTAACACCCACTTTTCACTATTTATGTTACGAGTTCCATTTACATGGAACTAGGGGGTGAGCCTATTGCCATATACCGGGCACAATTCCAGACTCCGTGCTACTACTGAGAATTTTTTTAAAACCCAGTAATACTTTGCCCGACCCGGGAATCGAACCCGGGACCCCTTGCTCGGCAGTCGCACTTGCGACCACTCGGCCAACGAGGCAGTCTAAGATAAGTATCTAAAATAAGTAATTCTATACAAAAAATATAATAATTACGATAGTTATTATAAAAAAAATATAATGTTAATGCCTCATTAACTACCAACGTGGCAACCCTAAGCCAACACGTGTAAAGTTTCGTGTAATGAGGTTTTTAAATAAAATGAATCACATACAAACATGCTATGAATATGCACACTGAGGTCACATTCAGGAGTTAATACTGAAATTATTGACTGTGGTCAGACTGAAATAGGTAATAATAGAAGTATGATGCGTTTATGCTAATTATTTGGTCACGCCACAGACGGACAGATGACGTATAAAAGGTAGGTATAGTAATTTGGGTGATTTTAACCAAATGTAGACCTAAATTCACGCGTTATTCCGGGAAAGGGATGACACACATTTTTAGGTGTCTGTATATAAATTGGTAAAGTGTTAGTCATCATCCTTACCAAGCTCCACTAAGATTAAGTAGGTAAAACGGATTAGATTCTCTTTAATAACGGTTAAACGCTGACCTGTCAAATTATTAAAAATATGCTTTGGGTGGAATGACCACCAAAAGCAGCCTTATAACTTACTAGCGACCCGCCCCGGCTTCGCACGGGTGCAATATGCATGTATTATACATATAAAACCTCCTTAAGAATCACTTTGTCTATTAAAAAACCGCATCAAAATCCGTTACGTAGTTAGTTAAAGATCTAAGCATACATAGGGACAGAGAGACGGCGGATAGCGACTTTGCAGTTAAAAAGCAGTACAAATTCGTTCGTATTCGATTTTTGTGTTTAAAATGTTCCGTTACCTGTTTCAAAGCCTCTTCAATGTTCCCGAGGTGGTACTCCGGTCTGGCTGTCACAAACTTGTGAAGATGCTTGCCAGCATACTCTGCTATGTTGGATCCTGGAAACAAAATGAAATAAACACTAGATTACGAATATTCATTTTTAAATTAAATTACGTTAAAATAGTGAACATAAATGTTTTTACTAAATTCAACAAAGCCTTCATAAAGTTTTTTAGAATACATGGATGAGAATAGGATGAGATGTTCATACCCTAACTAAGTACAGAACACTTTAAACTGTCAAACACCAAGCGGTCACCGGTGACCGCAACGTATTGTTCTATAATTGTGTCTATAACGACGGTACTCGACGAGTTAAACATGATTAATACAAATGTCATGGCAGTAAACTCATAAACCTGACAATATGATTAAAACAAGAAGCCACAAGAAATTACACAATCACACTAATATTATAAATATGAAAGTTTCTTTGTTTAGATGATTGTATATCAATCATGCTGAAACTACTGAACGGATTTTGATGAAATTTGGTATAAATGTATATTGGGTATAGGCTGACTTAACTGATAGCATATTTTTTATTCAGATTAAATACTCCCATGGGATAAAACAGGAATTGTTTTCTATGCGGATGAAGTCGCGGGCAACAGTTAGATTCTATTAATACCAGACTTACCGCCATGTCCATCATACACCGCAAAATATGCAGTCCCGGGATCCTCTGGTAGCGAGAGTATGTGTGTATGCGAGTCATCCATGGACACTCTCCAACCCTGCATGCAGGACGAGCCCACTAGGTAGCGGCTGTCCTGACATGTTGACGATTGCTTCTCCGTCACCGGCTCGGAAAGGGTTTGACCCATTACTCTACAAAAAAATGTTAAGTATTGATTATTAACATTACTCTTTACCCATTATTGAATTACAAAGAATTAGTGACAGTTATTTTTTGTCTTTATTATGGTATCATTTGCTGAACTAGCTTCATAAAAGCTGGAGTTCTTTAAAGGAGGCCATACACGTTAGGTTATGCATGATGGTTATAGCTGTGCATGCAAAACCAACAAGCAACCAAGTAACCAAGCACTGATGCACCGATTACTGTACAGTTTAATCACATACATACTAGGGCTTGCCTGTCGATTATGCATGCGCAGCTAATAAAATCATGCAAAACCTAGCATGTACAGCCTCCTTTAGTTTACAGTTTCGTGCAAAGCTGTGTATAACCTATATACACTTTTTAGTTATGTTATTAACATACTTCTTATGGGTCACAACTTATTTGGCAAAACTGGACACAATTTGGAATCTGCGTTATGACAGGATAATTAAAAAGTAACAAATCTAAAACTCAACACCTGACTCAATGAATGAAGCCTTAATGGTATAATACACATTTTTTTAAAGTTTTAATAAAACTATCAAACTTAACAGATTTCTAACCTACTCACAAATGATAGTTGGCTAGAACCAATCATTGTTAATCACCTCAACTATTGAGCAAGTAGACAACATTTATTTATTAATTACCCTAATTTAAATATAGGTACCTACAGATTAGGAGTAAATAGTTTAAATTATGATTAAAATTTAGGTATTTATTAATATTTGCTACATTAGAAAACACTAGACACTAACTGATAGGTAGTATGAATTATTATAGATTGTAAAATGTAGGCCACACACTATCTCACAACTTTATCATCTTTGTATCTAAGACCATGATCAAAACTGTTATGTTTAAAATTGAACTTAACACTTGAGCTACCCACAACTTAAATCGCCTGGTTTTAAAAAAAAGTAGCCTATAACATGCTCCAACCTCTTAACAATATCCAGATACAAAAAAAAAATACCACTAAAACTCTTTGTACAAAATGACAGACACACAAACACACTTTTGTATTTGTGATTAATTATTAAAAATAGTACGAATTATACTAATGCATAGTAAGTATTACTTTATAAAAGAAGCATGCACTGAAATATTTGAAAGAACAATCAGTTTACACCGCCATAGTAACTGTTAGATCCCAAAGATAACAATGTTATGAAAATAAATTATGATTCATGAAAACACAGGAGAGCATCGTAAATCGTTTTGGGAACATCGGAAATCGTAAACTTACAGTTTCGAACCACCAGTATCAACAAAATATCCAGATATGACTAACGACTGATGTCATTTACTATTTTACTTATAATCACCTCCAAAGAGACCTTTTCTCAATAACACTACAACAATACTGCACCCAATAAACACAGTGGCTGTTTGTACAATACATTTATCTCTCACTTAGTACAAAATAAACTGTAATTATCAAATTTAAAACAACAAAAAATGATAAGATAAAGCTCTTACATTACTGCGCTGTTATTCTTCACGTATTAAACAAAACATACAAATAAATGCACTCACAGGTATTTCAGACACTAAGAAATCTTATAATGTTCGCTATTATGTTGTTTCGTAACAAATCAACGTTTATTTTTCACAAATATCACGAAAATGCGTAGGTAAATAGAATCAAGACAAGATTGAAAAACGTCAGTCAGAAACCATGACATAAGTTTCAATGTTGCCAACTATAAATTTCTGTATATCATGGGAGATTAACAAAACTACCAAAGAATGTAATAAAAATATTTAAGACTTTAGAGAACGTTTATTTTTATCTAAAAGTCTTCGGTGTATAAAATGAATATATCAGATAAGAACTTAATAAAAAATCCAGATTCTAGCTTCAATTAAGGTTAAACTAATCTTACTTTAGAAACATAAAACCTAAAACATCAGTGCATGTTATAATTTTATAATTAGGTAATAAAATTAATTTTAACGTTTCAAAGTGGCGTACCTACTTACTTTTTTTAATATAACCATATTTTTATCACTTTATAAACATAATATAACATCACGCCTTTTATCCCCGAGGGTTAGGCAGAGGTGTACATTATGCCACTGTACTATGTAACACTCACTTTTCACTATTTATGTTACGAGTCCCATGTAATCCCTATTACATGGGGCTCACCCCCTGGTGAGCCTATTGCCATAATATACCAGGCACAATTCCAGACTCCGTGCTACTACTGAGAATTATAAACCCAGTAATACTTTGCCCGACCTGGGACTCGAACCAGAGACCCCTTGCTCGGCAGTCGCACTTGCGACCACTCGGCCAACGAGGCAGTCACTTCATGAATTATGTAACTATTTAACTTATGAATAAGTTCTTTCCGTACCTAGTTAGCTAGAACCTATTATAGGTATTTTTTATGGCCGGTAAACGAGTAGACGGGTCACTTGATTGGAAGCAATCGGCGTCGCCAAAGGACATCTGCAACACTAGAGGCATCTCAAGTGCTTTACCGGCCTTTTGGGGATTAGGAGTTTGAGGATCGTTGGGGATTCAGGGATTAGGGAAGGGAAAGGGGTTAATTAGACCTCCGGTAACCTCATTTACACGACGAAACACAACGCAAACGTTGCTTCACGTCGGTTATCTGTGAGGCCGTGGTATCACTCCGGTCAAGCCGGAAAAGTAGTTAAGTAGGTAAGTACTTTACTTACATAATCACAATGAATCAAGCATCAAATCTCGTACTGTAGGTACCAACGCTTCTTAAAAATTAATTTAGGTTTATATTACACATAGTAGATACTTAGGATTATTTGAGGAATCAGGAAAGTCCTAAATGAAGATAGGTGTACATAACTAAACTTATTGAGTTTTTGCAGGTACCTATTACGTATACTTTTTACCTTCAGAACATGACTAGAGACATTATTTACCGGAATTCTTGAACTATGTAGGTGTTTTATATCACTAAAATCTAGGTTAGGTATAGGGTAAACTCGTTAGAGATGGCCATACGGGAGAGATGGCCAATCGAATTATTTTTGGCATGCACAGCAAGATAGCGCTACATTGCGATCTGTACGCTTCGAGCCACGCTTAGGATCAAAGTGCGACGACGTTGCTGCGAGTATTTATGTTAAAAAGTAAGTAAATAAAGTTTTATTTTACAAGGTGTTGCAAAAATTATATAGTGTAGTCATATATTGTCGTGCACTACTATTTTGTATTACAATTTTTAGTTTTTTCTTAGTTTTTTATATTTATGAAATTTTAACATCTATTCTAATATTAGAATGGCGTCCGCTGATGTTTAAATAAACCTAAAATTTGATGTGGCCATCTCACCCATACAAAAAGGAGAGATGGCCACATCAACTCAGGGTAAGATAGCCATATTATTTTTGCTATTTATATTGATATTAATGCGTCTTATATTTTGTTACAGATGCCAAATAAGCATCAGAGAAAAACCATAGCTATTCATGGCTATTGGAGTGTAGTTTCATTAAAAGTTGCTATAAATTCCATTAAAAATGGAGAATTATCGGTGTATAGAGCAGTCTCCAACATATCTCATAAAACACTTGAAAGAAGGTACAAGACTAATAATGATAAACAGGAACCAATGGGACCTATCTCTATGCTTGGAGATCAGAATGAAAAAAAACTTGCTGATCATAATAAAACAATGCAGGGAAAAGGATTCCCTTTGACAATTAATGATGTAAGAGTGATTAGCCTTTCAGTTTGCTGAGCAAACATAAATTCAATAAATCAGAGGAAAAGGATGAGGAATGGATATGATTGGCTGCAGATGTTTTTGATCCATATATGGTTTTGAGAAAGTGTAAAGGAGTTTCAATAGCCCGTTGCTTTCGCTTACTTTGATTTGTTAGAAAAAGTTCTTCTAGATAATGATTTAAGGCATATTAGCGAAAGCATTTCTGATCTCAGTGAACCAGTGTTGTGTGATACATCAGACGACGAATGTAAAGAAAACGAAGCAGATAACTATGCTGGATGCGGAGAAAATTATTATAAAACTCGTTTTGTGGAAGATTGGTTCCAGTGTCTTATTTGTGACAGATGGGTATATGAAAACTGTACCAAGTTTAATGATATGTGTTCCAAATGTGGACAGAAGACAAAAAAGAAGCTAAAGATGCTGAAATCCAGGGCAAGGGAAAGGGAAAACGGAAGTCAAATACCGGTCATCTATCCCGTACAGCTACGGCCAACTCACCCTGAAGCCCTGGGAGAGATGGCCAATTCTATTTTTTTTTTATTGATTTATAATATGTTTTTGAATTATAAAAATAAATATTTGTCGTTGATTTTTAAAAGACTAATTACTGTTAATTATGATAAGAATATAAGACTGATTGTAACAACACTTTTTCTTAGTTTTATTTTGCTTAGATAAAACTATGGCCATCTCTAACGAGTTTACCCTAGATAACTTAATTTAACCAAACTTAATTCAAAACTAAGTAATAAAACACTTGCCTCATTATTTTCGACGTTCCAAACATCATTTTGCTAACAAAATAACTATCAAAATCAATAAAACATATAAATCAGGAAATTACGGCTGAAATAATTTTTTTCTACTCAAAATGTTTAATTAGGTATTCTATTTTTATTTGAGGCAAACGAAGCCAATCGATAAAATTTATTCATAAAAAAACTATAAAAGTGTGAATTTGATACGTCTAAGTTACGTTTATAAATAGTGACAGAAGATGAATCATTAGAAATAATAAAAAGTAATTAATGTCAGTGCAAAGAGGTTATAGTAGCCAGAGATACCTTACTAAATTATGAGACCAACAAGGGCGTTGAAATTGCAACATCCTTGGAGACCAACCGGTCTCCTACCTCCATGGATTTTTAGATTGTAGCTACCTAATTGATACATCTACCTAGATAATTATTTCTACAATAAACACCTAACTAAACGACCTAGATCCGTTTTAATAGTCGTTAAAAGGAAAATGACAACTTTTTAACTCGTCGAGTACCGGTTTTGTAGACACAATTATAGAACAATAGGTTGCGGTCACCGGTGACCGCTTGGTGTTTGACAGTTTAAACCAAATGCAATCTATTATAAAAAATGTTGACCTACCCACATAGATAAATTATTATTACCCACTTTTAATACTGATCTACCTCCTAAAATAATGAAAATCATACAACTGACAATTTTATTATCAAAAATCTTAGCTCTCCAGGACTGCAACTGAACACGAGACCGCGTGTTTCGCAGTCATGCATGCATGAACGAGACCGAAGAGACATTCCAATAAATAATATCATGGTTATTGCTTATTAATATTAACAACGAACGCAATATAAACGTAGGTTATTAAAGCGTATATAATGAATTTCGTCACACAAGCTCAGCTCAATGTGCGTCAACGTAACACTATACTACATTAATAGCTGACTCCAACAAACCGGCTGTGTCATCAGAATTTGGCTGAGGCAACGAGAATGTAGTTTTGCGAAGACTTTTTAAAGTTTGTCAATATTATTTAACGATTAATTTCCGATGTTTTTATAGGATATGTTAAGTAAATATTGATAAGGCTATGGCAAACATTTACGTATTAAAAAAAGTAAATACAGCGATAAGATAATTTAATAACTTGCTGAAGTAACAGTACTTGCTTACCATATACTGCCATTTTTTTCGATGGGGGCCGGTTCGAAGAAGGCTCCCAATTTTTGCCAGTTATGTCACTCGTTGCATTGTATGCAGCCCTACCTGAAAATAGTAATAAGAAGTTTAACGTAATAACTTTTTTAATACCAACACGATATTTTTTTTCTCTTAGTGATCATCTCCGACTAACTTCAGGAAAATAAATCGCTGCTATAATAAAACTTGCGATAACTTTAGTATCAACCATGGCAGCAGCCAATTGATCTAAATTGGTATTTACAGTAATAGGTACCTATACCAACGCGTCATTTATTACGTACAATGCAATGCAGTTACATGAAACAGAGAAGCCCTATTAGAGAAACACATTGTTGAAATCAACCTATATACTGACAAAAAAAACTAAAAAGAAAGAACAATGAAAAGTACCTATAGAAACATTTTAAGTACACTTTACCTGTTACGTAGGTTACGGTAAAAAATAGCACTAGACGCTCGAAGAATAATTAGGAGAAAAATCTTAAAATTGTTTTTGCACTCCATTGTATATTATTACTACTTGAGGTACGGTAAGCAAATGGGATCCAAGAAAATTTCACCACTGCTTATATGCAGTTTTCAAAAAAAAATCAATAGAAACCTTCAAAAACATTTAATTTTTTTTAGTTTTACCTTCAATGTACCTACATTATCACATTTTTTTCAACAACGCATAATTAAATACATTACAAGCATAAAATTAAAAAATCAAAATCTTACTATCGTAGATGTTATTGTGTAAAGAAAACAGTAACATTTATGATTCTATTTTTTTCCATATAATTGTTCGAAATCAATATTTTCAATTATTTCCTTCACGGCCCCCAGCTGACTCCCTGAAGCAAAAATACAGGGTTACTGACCACCACACTATTTTGGGCTTCTGGCCTCCCGTTTTACCCAATGTAGGAAGTTTGGCGCATCTATCTAATTATTACTGGCATAAGCAGGAAGGAACTACGTTTCACTAAATAAATTCTGACATTAAAGTCATATTAGATTAACTTAGCCATCGGAAAATCGATATCAAATAAGTTTTAAGTTACATTATCAATAACGAGTGACGAAATCGAAACCGGTGTGCAGTCAGTATCGAGTTGTCGCGCACCGTGCGAGCGCGTGTCTATCGCGTGTTCTTAATTTGAAATTTTAAGTGAAAAAAAAAACACGTTTCAAAAATGGCTTGTCCCATGAGGTGAGTTTTTTTTAGATTCATGCTCTATTACCTACGTCAAGTGTTCTAGATTTTTTTATTTGCTCATGTGATGCATTGGTAAATGACTTGTTGCCGTAGCTTTGAACAATTTTATTTACTTCTATTTCCTTTATTTTTATCAAGATTGATGTAAATATATTTGCTCAATATACTTATTTCAAATAAAAAATGCGTTACTTACCAAGTAATTTCTTTTTACGTAACTACCTACATAATATATTATGTCACTTCAAAATAAATTAATAAACTAAGTAATAACTTGTAAAAATATAACTAAACTCAATTATTAAAACAAAAACGTAATGTATAATATATACTTAGTAAGTAACTCCTATCTAGGTCCTATCAAATTGAAATTAAAATAAACACCCAATTAATAATAACCAAACTTACAAAAAAGAATAATATTCAGTCTATTTTAATGTTGCCTTATTTAATTCTTTTATGTAAATTCTACCAAAAAAAAAGAAATGGCGGGAAAACGAGCGAACCAGACAACTAACTTACTTTTTTACCGCAAGCTTAAAACGGATGTAAGTCATAAAATAGTGATTAAATCCCTAAGGTCACTGCTTCGTAGAAAAGGTTACAAAAGGGGTGAGTAGGTACCTATAGTTAATTATCAGGTCGCTACTGAATTAAATTTATAAGTCGACAAGTAACCTACCTTTTTTGGTTTAGTTTCGACTCGAATGGATATAAAAAACATTGAGAAAAAAAAAATCATAAAAAACCCAAATTGAGAATCTCCACTTTTTTAAACTGTCAAATACCAAGCGGTCACCGGTGACCGCAACCTATTGTTCTATAATTGTGTCTACAAAACCGGTACTCGACGAGTTAAGAAGTCGTTTAACAAAAATAAGCCAATGTCTAATATTTCATGGTCGGCAACGCACTTGTTACTCTGTGAGGCCTCTGGTGTTGCTGATACCTCCATAGGCAATGGTGACCGTTTTTCCATCGGAAAGCCCGTAACTTTATTGCAACTGTAAGTTTCAAACATATCGCTACTTTCATGTTTAGGTAATAAAGCAGATTTAACAAGCAGTTACCTAAACGTATTATTCTGAATGAAAAATAGTAATATTTTATTCTTAGCAGATAGGTGAAGGATGAAACCCAGTCTAATTTCAATAGCAATTAGGTATAATGCTGCTTACCACTAAATAACGTTCAATTAATCGCTGGGTCCACGACATGTAAAGTAAAACATTCATAAGTTATTCCTTATCAAATTTGTTTTTGTGTCACCGCGAGATTACACGTAATAATTATTTATTATGAATTAAATTTATATGAGGTCACGATGGAGATAGAAATTTAAATCTTCACATAACTACATACACACACATAAGTACAAACGTTATCTTATAATAGTAAGTTCAAATACTTAAGTTGTTTTGAGCGGGAATCGAAAATGCAAACTGTGGCTGTAACCATCAGTTTCTAACCACACAACATGATTTCTTTTTTATGGAATAGGAGGCAAACGAGCAAACAGATCACCTGATGGTAAGCAATCAACGCCGCCTATGGACACCCGTAACAACAGAGGAGTGTTGCCGGCCTTTTAAAAAGGAATACGCTCTATTTTTGAAGGTTTGAAGTGAATAAACAATGTAACTCATGTGCTGTAAATAGGTATTAGGTCCTGGGTCTGCGACGACATAGCGGGTTACCAGGGCTTGAGCTCAAAGTAGAGTTTTTTTTTTTTTTTTTTTTTTTTACGGGGGGAAAATCATCGAATGACTGCCCCCGCCTGGGTGAGGCGGAAGGGAGTGTCAGACTCTTACTGACTAAAAACCACCCCGTTCCTTCTCCTGCACGTCGAGCCGGAGCCCCGGTTACCCGTTAGGTTCTCCGCGACTCCGAATCGGCATCGGCCCTATTGGGCCCCATCTGTGGTGAAAGTAGAGTACTAAGAAGTAGGAACAGGGTGGTTTTTAGTCAGTATCTAATAGATACTGGAATTTTGATGAGATGTCGTAGTGGCCCGGAGGGAGGGGGGTAAGACGCTGCTTGTCATGCCTGAGGGCGCGGTTTCGAACCTACCATCAGCAAGTACCAATGTGACTTTTTCGAGCTATATGTAGTTTGTAAGCATATTACAATATATAGACAATATATAGGTAAAGGAAAACACCGTGAGGACGCTAACCTGACCGTATAATTTCTAATATACTTAAAAAATCACCAACCCGCATATAGCAAGCGTGTTGATTAATGCCTTCCCGTGTGAGAAGACTTTGGTCAGCAGATCCTAATTATCCGCTGATGTACCTACATGTATGTGTTCTGGACTTCTGGATTCCGGGCTACTAATATAAGGGGGTTCTAATAATTATTATTCTCATTTTGTGTGACTGCCTCGTTGGCCGACTGGTCGCAATTACCACTACCGGGCGAGGAGTCATGGGTTCGATTTCCAGATCGGGCAAAGATTTACTGGGTCTTAAAAATCCCAGTAATAGCACGGGCTCACTCCCTATTACATGGAACTCATAACATAAACAGTGAAAAGGGGGTGTAACAGTGCCTTAATGCGCACCTCTGCCTACGTCTTCGGGTATAAAAGGAGTGATGTTATATTATGTTTGTGTGAAAATGTCTCAAAATTGGTTGAACTGAAATCAATAAAAATGCGTCCAGAAGAAATCTAATAAATACATATATTATAAAGTTTAAGAACAGGACAACACACTTATAGGCTATCGTTATCACCAATGACCTTCCTCAATAATTGAGCTAAATAAGAAAAAAAAACAAGTTTCAAAAGTTAACACACACAAGACCACTTCAGTTATTACTGTTCTAGATACCCATAGCTGAAGCAAAATAATGGCTCATAACTTAAACTGTCAAACACCAAGCGGTCACCGGTGACCGCAATCTATTGTTCTATAATTGTGTCTACAAAACCGGTACTCGACGAGTTAAGGTGATTCGAACACATAACAAACAGATATAATTAAAATAGCATAAGTACTACGTGTAATTACGTACTGTTAACCAGCTATTAGCATTTCAAATTTTATCTAAATCGATTCTTTAATTTTCACCAGCCAAAAATAGAACTTGTTTGCAGTAAATTTTTAGCACTAATGACGTAAGACGTGCACTATTTAAACAATTATCCAATACACAAAAACAATACAATAACAGTATTATCTATTGAATTTTAATTTGTTTATATTTACATAGGTAATTTTGTCTTATATTAGCCAAGACAGGTGTTATTCATAATGTATTATATGTAGGCAACATCTGACGTCTGTTTAGAATAAATATGTACGAATAAATAAATATTAGTAAGTCAATGAATAATTTATTTGAAAATACATAAATATTTCGGAAGTAATTTAAATATATAGGCTCAGGGGGCATTACATGAGTGAAAAGTGGGTGGTACATTATTCAGTGGCATTAAGTGCCGTAATGTGCACCTTTGCCTACACCTTCGGGGATAAAGGGAATGTTATTGTGTTGTGTTATACAAACTGATTATCGATTCCAAAAAGGGGGTTACGACAGACGACACATTATAGATTATCTACATTTGTGGCATCTTTCCGCGGAAATCACAAGAGCTGACTAAGGAAGGGAGACTAACTACACATTGGGCCGAGACTAAGCAGCAGCACTATCTGATAAACCTGAACCTTCTTCAATAATCCGCCTACCAAGAGTGGAGACCATGGCAAAGCAAATCCTCTTTAAAAAAGCAAGGTCTCTTCATGACGTGTATGACGAGAGGTTTTTTTTTTTAAGGGGGGAAAATCATCGAATGACTGCTCCCGCCTGGGTGAGGCGGGAGGGAGTGTCAGACTCTTACTGACTAAAAACCACCCCGTTCCTTCTCCTGCACGTCGAGCCGGAGCCCCGGTTACCCGTTAGGTTCTCCGCGACTCCGAATCGGCATCGGCCCTATTGGGCCCCATCTGTGGTGGTCTGATGGCTCTTTGAGGCGCGCGCGGAACGCGACGCGCCGTACGCTCGGGTCTGTTTCTGGTCGGACGGGGAGCCACCCATGCTCGCCGTCCGCAGGCCCGCGCTTACGGTGGCCGGAGATCGTCCCGCGATCCCCGACGCCCGGTGTGTCCTTCGCGATGGCTGGGTTGCGAGGAGGCAGCGCTTCGCTGCCTCACGCGTCCCGCCTCCTCCTTAGCTAGCATACACAAGAGGTTTAGCAGCAACCGCAGTGAGAGGTGTAGCAGGAAACTATCACCCACTGTTACAGCCATAATGACCAAATTAGCCTACTGTGGACTATGCAAAGAGTATATTAGACTATGGTAGAAGAAAAATGGCACAGCTCACTATGGTAGAAAAAAATAGCTCAGCTCATTGTGTTTTCGACCTTGAAAAAAGACCTATGTATAAAATTGCAAATAAATTCTAAAAAACGAACAAATTCTTCATTATCATTTGCATAGATATCGTTATGACGACAGACCTCAAATTGGGTGTATGAATTAAGTATATTTTGTCTATTGGATAAAATTACTAAAAATAAATAAACATGGAATGATCGTATCGTTGCATACAATAAAATAATATTCTTGAACATATTATGTTCATAATTTTTAACATCACATTAAAACTGATAAGCAAATCTGTTTTGAGATTTCGTCATGAACCGATGATCAAAACCGGTAGGTAGCCTGTCTGCTGTTTGTGATTGACAGCAATTAGCAAGGTTCGAGTCCAGTTCAACCAGAATTACTCGTTCGTGACCAAACATGATTTTTAATATATTGACATGTCTATATCTTGTAACAGTTGAGTCAAAAAATCAAAATTTTGAGTTCGTTGACCTAACAAAGATTTTGTAAATACGAACACAGAAGTGCATGTATTAATTTAACACAGAATTTCAATCAAGTCTCATGCAGTTGCTCTTATTTATGAGAACCATAGTGGCTTAATTCAATAAATTATATAAATTTGAAGCCACACTGGTTCTATCAAAAATGATCAATTTTAACTGGAAAAAAATCATAATCTAAATATTATGAAAAAATGAGATAAGTCACTATGGTTCTCATGGCCTCATAGCCAGTCATACTCTTTAATATTGTGCAGTTTCAAATTTAGCTAACTGACACTTACGAAAATCGAAAGACATGAATCTTTCTTATTTATTAGGTCCTTAATATAAAATATTCCAATTCCAAAGCTTCCATTTATCTCCAAGACTTCATCATCAGCAACCGCCAGAAGACGTCCACAATAGAACATAGGAATCTCCCAATCTCACCATGACCTAATTTGAAACATGTCCACAATTAAATAATTTATAATTATCATTGTCTGCAGGTCTATGATGGACGAGAGCTCGGCTCAGGAAGGTAACCATCTCGGCAACGAGGCTGGTATGCTGTACGGAGAGTACCTGATGCTGGACAAACTACTCTCAGCTCAGAGGATGCTCAGCTCAGAGTCCTCTAAGCCAGTGCATGATGAGCATCTGTTTATTATCACTCATCAAGGTAAGAATGAAAAATCGCTAGGTACTATTTTGCTCTTTCAATTTCCGAGAAGTGGCCCAAAGTTAACCAGTTGCACAGCGGCGTAACTATACTTTTCGGGGCCCGTGGCAAAGTCATCGGTTGGGTTATACTGTTCCCAATAAAAAAGAGAGAGAGAGGAACCTGAACGAACGCGCTGTAACCTTCCAGGTGGGAGCCCGTGGCATTTTGCGGACTTGCCACGCTGTAGTTACTGCACAGCAGTTCTTCGAAGTTACTAAATGTCAGTATTTTGAAGCAAAGTTATGAAGAGATGAGAATTGAAATACATATTTCATCTTCCGTATGATTACAATAACGTTTATGTCCTTCTGTGGGAATAGGTGGATATCTTCAAGATTTTTTTTGCCAAGTAAAAGCATTATGTCCTTGATAAACGAGTCTCTTTGTATTATCTGTCAAAACTTACCAAAATACAATAGGTTCAGTTGTTTATTTTGATGTAGTATTAAATATAAATGTTCCCATATTAAGTATGGTATGATCAGGTCTCCGCGAAGGCCTTGATAGGGGCCCATATCCTAGTCCTAAGGGTATAAAAGGATATTAGCCTACTAACCTACTTAAGACCGATAAAAACAAGATATTTTTTGGTTAATAAAAGAGGTTTTTGGTTTCAGCCTACGAGCTATGGTTCAAGCAGATAATATTCGAGGTAGACTCTGTGCGGGCATTGTTGGACGTGGAGGGACTGGACGAAAGCCACACTATGGAGATACTGAAGAGGTTGAACAGGGTCGTGCTCATATTGAAGGTAAGAGATCCCCTTTATAAAGGACTTTTGTAGGCAGTGATGTACTTGTTTATCTAAATGTGTACTTAACCCCAGGGTCTGGCAGAACGTAAATATAAACAAGACTCGATGCACGTGGGATACCCATGCATGCTTCGAAACGAATGAGATGATTTAAAAAAAAAAGTGTTACAGTTAGGTACAACGGCCATGGAAAGGTGCGAAGGTGCTCATTTACCTTTGGAAATGAAGTACCTAGGCACGATGTATTTCCTTCTTGTAAAATGGGGTTACCCCACACTGAATTTCTCCTGTGTCGTGATTGCATTTACAAACATACAAGTTCACATACACATGACACCCAGACCCGGAACAACAATTTGTGTATCACACAAAGAGTTGCTCCGTGCGGGATCGAACCCGATTCACGTTGCGCGGCAACTGGTTGCCCAGCCACCGCACCAATCGTGCAATCTAAGCACAATATTAACATAACATAACATCACGCCTTTTATCCTCGATGGGGTAGGCAGAGGTGCACATTATGCCACGGTACAATGTGACACCCACTTTTCAGTATTTATGTTATGAGTCCCATGTAATAGGGAGTGAGCCCGTGCTATTACTGAGAATTTTTAAAAAACTCAATAATGCCCGTAAAACCCGGTAATCGAACCCGAAACCCCTTGCCCGGCAGTCGCACTTGCGACCACTCGGCCAACGAGGCAGTCTAATCTAAGCACAATATTGTAGATTATAATCATAATCATTTATTTATTTGGAACATAGGTGGTAGTACATACTAGATGTTCTTAGGCTTAGCTTCTATAGTTCTATACCAAAAGAATCACAAAACTATATCGAGAAACTACCTCGTTCTTCATGGTCTGACGTAAGCTGGGAATTAACTTACAGTTTACTAACAACTCATTATTACCTTCATTAATTACTTATAAATTATAACAATATTAGCCGCCGATGCAGTTATGCAGGTAATACCTAGAACTTGGAAAATGGAATGTAATTAACACTCGCGATTAACGCTTCAACTTACGTAGAATACATATAATTATTGTAAGTACCTCCTTATAGGTATTAGGAATGTATGTATGCTTAACACATAGAATCTTGTGAAGGCATCCACATACGTGGTTCGAAAACAATTCCGCGGGAATTTTCGTTCGCTGTGCGGCCTGTCCGCCCTTAACTGGCACAATATTACGTCTACATTCTACATTATAACTATTCCATAAAGGGGCGAATTAAACAAAGTGAGTAGGCGCTCACAGAGAGTTTGTTTCGGCATTTCTTCTCAGAGTAGTTAAATAGAAAATGTCGGGTTCATCGTTCGGTTGAAAAATTGACGTGTAAAAATGCTGCCTTGTAGGCTAGCTTATTTGCAGAAATAAATTCACTTGTTTCATTAGGTAAAGACTTAATGGGTGCATTTTTTTTGATGCACCTACTTTATTAGCAAATGGGTGCGCACGTCTCGCGGCACCCCTTTGTAACCTGGCGCTGGTGCCCTAAGTAGTTACCTAGTTTGCCTTAATTATATACATATACGGCTTTGTACCTATATCATAATACAGGGCTCGTACACAAAAATACGATGCGAATTCGCTACGCAAAAAATACGACGCCAATTACTGCGATACGACTTCGAGGGACGAGGCGTCTTCCAGGGTGACCATTCCTTCGACGACCGTTAACGGTACTTAAGGTATTTTAAACTGATAACTAGGTCGTGGCATAGATCGTAAAAAGAAGTATGCACTTCTATTAACTCGTCGAGTACCGGTTTTGTAGACACAATTATAGAACAATAGGTTGCGGTCACCGGTGACCGCTTGGTGTTTGACAGTTTAATGCTTAGGAGATACAGGAAGGAAGGAATTTTGGGAAGATAAGATTTTCAGAATAGATTCGCAAGTTCCTGCGACGCTTAAAGGGATCTCGCACATTTTTGAGATTTGACGTCACATCGCAGTTTTGTGTACAAGCCCATAGGATATAATATGTAGTAAGTATATAGGTATAAATATTAGTTGTTTTTATAATCATAATCACTGTTTATTAGGCAAGGAACACATTACTACCTCTGTTATCAGATTCGATCACATGTTTCATAATTACATCACACGCATTCTAAGATTTAATGTTTTTATAATTAGGTTTAACTCGAGCGATAAATCTGATTTTCGACCCTGATCAACGTTAATTATTCATTAATTAGAACAATTAAACGTAAAATAACTTCACGACTTTTATCTCTGGAAGAGAAAACCAGGTACCTATTGCCTTACTTAAAGTACCTACCTTACGTAGGTACCTAAGTACCTTAAAGTTTTTAATTCAAATCTACTTTTCGCCAATTTTATGTCGAAAGCAGAAGGGACAAGCCATAATTATCAGAGACACAAAACTTTGCCAATTATGAGCACAGAACAAAGAGACCATTTGCTCTTTAGGTTTCGAATTTGACTCAATCGAGTCGCTTCAATTCATTTTCTATTTTATTTATTTGAGAAAACTAACAATTATACATTATTACACATGATTTAAGCAGATACTGCTCTGTTGGGTGCTGAAATTATGTAAAATCTATTATTACTCTAAAAAAATTTACTTCAGTAACAGTATGATCATCATAACTTTTTTAAGGACGCAATATAACAGCGTGTCACTAGTGCGAGCCAGATTGTCGATAAAAAATTACGTATCGATGTCGATAAAGGGGTCAAATGTCAGGGCACAACACTATCGCGGTTGTTATATTATGCGTAATGAGTAACGCAAACACATTGGTGTGTGTGACGTGACAATAGTTCCTTTTTTATTTTATTTACGTACAACGGAAATTGTAATTAATGTTTTATTAATTTATCGGATGGTATATAACCCCCTCTCTCAGTATCTCTTATCGTCTTCCAAAGGGACGGCATGCAATTTTGATAAGTTCTCAGTGTTTTCGTGGATGGTATCGAGGAAACAAAGTACACTCACTAATTGGATACTTGCCAACTAGTCAAATTCAATACTTTTTTCGAGCTGTCAAAAATGACAGTTTCCTGTGAATTTTGTACTAGATTGTGTATTGTGACGTCACGTTTTTTTAGAGTCAAACAGAATACTTATTACTTAATAATTTGCTGGAAAATACTAAAATTAAGTTCGTCATTGAATCAAATAATGTGTTTTTTTTAAATGTTTTATTGTATTGAACAGTCGAAATAACGATTTTTTACTAAGGAAAGTACCCAATTACAATTTCGACTGCACGGTTGGCGCGGTGTTGGGGCAACCGGCTGCCGCGCAAGGAGTCGCGGGCTCGATCCCCACACGGAACAACTCTTTGTGTGTCCCACAGATTGTTGTTCCGGGTCTGGGTGTCATGTGTATGTGAACTTGTATGTTTTGTAAACGCACACACGACACAGGAGAAAATACTAGTATGAGTATAAAAAACCTCCATTTGCCGTTAGCTACATGATTCTATGTTATGATAATGATTTAAATAACATTAGTAAATACATGCATAGATAATAATGTGTGTAGTATACATATTACATAACTCTTTTTTATTTTCTCAATTGTGTTCTGGCTTCGCATCAACCACTTCATTTCTCTGCACTTCCCTGTGGTTGACTGTAAGAGAATGCCTTAAGGCATTAAGTCCGCCATTCACTTATGTATTTGTGAAGAAGAAAATAAATAAATAAATAAATAAATAATAATTATTATGCACAACTTCCTTGTATCAACGACGTGTTATAATCAATGATGTGAAAGTAGGAGAGAAAGTTGTTATTTGAGACATCTTGCAATTATTGAGTGGCCACATGTGGGTACTAACCTCTAGCATACAATGTAACTGATCATAGATAGCTATATGTAATTAGAACATCATATTTTCAAGAAACATGAAGTGTTTTTATAATAGCTATTGTGAAACATGCTGAATTAACTTTTTAACTAAAAATAGTCAGGGGCGTGGGTGCTGACGGGAGCACTTAAACTAAATAAATTTGATGTAGGTATCGCGCAAAATATTTTATCAACCCCAACGTCAAAGAAAGCAAAGATGTTTTGCAGTTTACTTTCAGTGCTCCCACAGTAGCTTGGTTCTTGACGTCGCCCTATTATCCTCTAATTTTTATAAATTTTATTAGAGTTGTAGTTATGCTATGCTAATGGATACAATGGGGTTGTCATGTCCTATACCTAGGATAAAAACCCCGTCCAAAATAAACTGAATAAAAAAAAAAACTTTTTAACTGTGGGAGAGCTATGCTTCGACATGAATGGGCCGGCTCGACCGGAGCGATACGACGGCCTCACATAAGACCGACGTGAAACAACGTTGTGTTGTGTTTCGTCTTCGTGTGAGTTTCCCAATCCCTGAATCCCAAACATTCCTCAAATTCCAAATCCCAAAAGACCGGTAACGCACTCGATACGCCTCTAATGTTCCAGGTGTCCATGGGCGACGCCGATTGCTTACCATCAGGTGATCCGTCTGCTCGTTCAACGGCTAATTCAATAAAAAAGAAAATAAAAAAAAACGTGTTACTCACTTAAATATATTGAGAAAAGCTCTACTAGTTTCGAGTCATGTACGCTGCGCGATATCGCTGCTACCATACACGTTGTTCATTAGGAAGAGTCCCTTTGTGACTCAAATTTATTAGAGTTTTTCTCTGTATAGTTATTTATGTGAGTAACTCATCATTTGTGTTTCTTATTTACAGTCCTAATGTGTAATCTTTTATCGTGGAGAACCTAACGGGTTACCGGGGCTCCGGCTCGACGTGCAGGAGAAGAAACGGGGTGGTTTTTAGTCAGTAAGAGTCTGACACTCCCTCCCACCTCACCCAGGCGGGAGAAGTCATTCGATGATTTTCTCCCCTTAAAAAAATATGTAATTTTTACCGATAAAAATAATACTTTTGGTTTGATTGCGAGGTTAATCAAGTGGTCGGAATTGCGATTGCCGAACGAGGTATCTTGGGTTCGATTCCCGGTTCTTGGTAAAATGTCATTGAGTTTTGGGTGGGCATATATATCCTAGATTTAGGTTCTATCACTTGTACTATATCATGGTGTTGTCTCCAACAGTTGCTGGTGGACCAGGTGATGATCCTGGAGACGATGACTCCCCTGGACTTCATGGACTTCAGGAACTACCTCCGTCCTGCCTCCGGTTTCCAGAGCTTGCAGTTCCGTTTGCTTGAAAACAAGGTACCCAGGTGTTTAATGTAATATGGGCTACTGCTATCCATCCATATCTCAAACTCGAACTCAAAAGCATTTATTTCAATTAAACTGTCAAACACCAAGCGGTCACCGGTGACCGCAACCTATTGTTCTTTGTGTCTATAATGACGGTATTCAACGAGTTAAACCATAATTTGGTACTTTTGAAACGTCAACAAATACAAAATAAATAATAGTGTGTTATTCAGTCCGTCAGTGAAGCTAGGAGAAGCTAGGTGCTCGTTCCAAAAAGTAGATTCGAATGGAGAAGAACGAGCAAGAATCTCCTTTCATCCCCAATAAATAAAGTTTATTTTGCGAAGAGACTATATATAAAATAACACTTTTAACTTCGACTTTTAGGCACACCGTAAACATTAAAATAAAGCTAGACGAATTTGGCGCCTCTAACCACAATTTTTATTCGCCATGATATTTTTATTAAGATCATGAACTTGCCTCGACTGCTTCGTTGGCCGAATGGTCGCAATTACGGCAAGATGTCTCGGGTTCGATTCCCGGGACGGGCAAAGTACTACTGGGTTTTTTCAAAAAATCTTAGTTAGCACGGAGTCTGGAATTGTGCCCGGTATATAGTATTTCAATAGGCTCACCCCTATTACATGGCATTCATAACATATAGTAAAAAGTGGGTGTTACATTGTACAGCGGCATTAAGTGTCGTTATGTACACCTCTGCCTTCCCCTTCGGGGATAAAAGGTGTGATGTTATGTATGTATCATGAACTTATACTTTCATTGTGATTGTGATGTTATTGAACGTAACTCTAGCAGAATTGATTTTGATCAATATGACATTGATCTCACATAACACTGACATTTTCTACTATCAACATCACCTTTTGATTTAGAATAATTATTGCTGTAGTTAGAAAAAAAAACAATTGTTATTTAGGTTTTCTTTTTTTCCACGAAATATAAGGCTTTTTTATTTTTTATTTTATACCTAGCTTTTACCCGCGGCTTCCCTCGCGTCACAAAAGGATAAAAAGTAGCCTATGTGACATATACCAATACACACAGCGCCATCTATACCAATACTTTCGTTTTCCCTCGGGAATATCACATTTTTCCGGGATAAAAAGTACCCTATTATTTAATCTGGACTTCTAACTTTACGTCTGCAAAAAATCAAAGCAATCAGTTTAGTAGTTACGGCGTGAAAGCAAAACAAACAAACAAACAAACTCACTTTCCGATTTATAATATTAGTAAGGATAGTAAGGATTGCTGTAGTAAATATCTTGTTCTGTCTGTTTACAGCTGGGTTTAAAGCAAGCCTTGCGAGTCAAATACAACCAGAGTTACCAGACTGTATTCGGAGACGACCCTGAGGCCATGGAGGCATTGCACAAGTAAGTTTATATCTTATCCATCTAAGTGTTCTATTTAATGGCAGAGTAGAATATATTTGTTACCACCCCTGGTCTCGTGGGTAGCGTAAAGGCCGCCTAAAGGAATACCTACACTCTTAACAGATACCGAACACCATTCTCTCGTAAACCTGATCATTTAAATTTAGACTGCAATCTCCAACTCGCCTACCAAGCAGGAAGATTATGACAAAGCCCTCTTATGTCGTTTGCCAGTTCAGGAGTGAACTCCTAAAGGTTGTTGATGATGGTAAATGATCTTGGTTCCAGGTCCGAGCAGGAGCCAGCGTTACTAGCTCTGATCGAGCGTTGGTTGGAACGGACACCAGGTCTGAACACACACGGCTTCAACTTCTGGGGCAAGTTCCAAGCAGCCGTCAGCAAACTCATCAAGGATGATATTGATGCTGCTTCGGTAAGTTTTAAAGTTGTAAGGTCAGATAGGGCACAACCGAAATGAGAACCTAAGTAGGTAGTGGGAAAACGGTTACCTACATGCTGCTGGGGGAGTATCTACGAACTACTAGCAAGGCTGGCTTGGTCCTAAAATGAGCCAGACCACCACAGATGGGGCCCAATAGGGCTGATGTCGATACGGAGCCGCGGAGAACTTAACGGGTTACCGGGGCTCCGGCTCGAAGTGCAGAAGCAGGAACAGGGTGGTTTTTAGTCAGTACCAGTCTGACTCCTTTTTGCCTCACCCGGGGGCAGGATAAGTCATAGGATGATATTCCTCCCCATAAAAAAAATCCTTAAAAATCTTGCAACGCATTTGTACGTAAGTCTTATTATGGTTCTGCATGTGTCTATAGGCGGCGTCGATTGCTTAAGCGCTTATTACACAACCCGATATGAAGGGCTCTGCATCCAGGGTGGGCGTGTACCCCAGTTAGTGAGGCGCTTATTACACTTTCCTACGAATTGGACCCTAACTCAGTTTATACGCGAAATTCTAGAGAGATATACGTATTGTCACATTTTACATTATGCCGTCGTCTGTATTGAAACTTCAAAAAGTTGCTGTAGCAGTGACAACCGTGCTCGCAATAACGTAGAGAAATATCTAGGTGAAAAAGTACCCGATCGCCCTTAATCGGGACACTAACTCCGTCCGTCCTCCACTAAGTCTTAGCGAGTCCTCCCGTTAGGGTCCCTCCAAATTGGGTGGTCTAATAAGGCCTTTACCATCAGGTGATCTGTCTTCTCGATTATCGACCTATACCATAAAAAAAGAAAAATGTTACTATAGTCCTCCATTTCCTCATTTATTTATCTACTAATGTTACATTTCAGCATGAGACCAACGAGACAGTTCGTCGCCACCGCCTGCAGGATGCAGAGAACAGGCGCGAGATATATCGCTCTATCTTCGACCCCGCTGTACATGACGCGCTCAGGTCCAGGGGAGAAAGGAGGTTTGTTTCCAACTTCATAATTGAAATTCAAATGACGTAAAAGCTTTTCAGGACGGGAATCTAACTGTGTGTGTCACGTTCATAGCCAACCATGCTGTCTTTAGATTTACGTAACACTGTAATAAAATTGTTCGTCGCAAGTGCGACTACCGAACAAGGGGTTCAACAAACCCTAGGTTCGATTCCCGGGTCGGGCAAAGTATTACTACTACTACTTATGGAATAAGCCGGTAAACGAGCAGACGGATCACCTGATGGTAAGCAATCGGCGTCGCCCATGGACACCAGGAACACCAGAGGCGTTACAAGTGCGTTACCGGCTTTTTTCCTTTTAAAACACGTTGAACTACTAGAAGTTAAAGAACTTTAAAAACATTTATCAACAATAATTCCCAGGTTGTCCCATAAGGCGTTGCAGGGAGCCATCATGATCACGTTCTACAGAGACGAGCCTCGGTTCTCCCAGCCGCACCAACTCCTCACACTCCTCATGGACATCGACAGCCTCATCACCAAGTGGCGATGTGAGTATCACTACCAATTCCACTTTACCCATTTTACCTTTTTCCGAGTTATATGTACTTTCTAAGATTATCTAGATACCACTGACAAACGGTAAAGGAAAACATCGTGAGGAAACCTGGGCTTATACTTTCTAATTATAAGTTTGAAATCGCCAACCCGCATTGAGCAAGCGGGGTGATTAATGCTTAGGCTTTGCTCAGCAGTGGGCATCTATAGGCTGTTGATGATGTAGCCCAACCTTAGGCTTAACTTAATATTTTGTGTGATAATGACAAAATCATGACGATTCGCAGACAACCACGTGATCATGGTGCAGCGTATGATTGGATCCCAGCAGTTGGGCACTGGCGGCTCCTCAGGATACCAGTACCTCCGATCCACTCTCAGGTAACTTCATACCCCATTTACTTATAATCAACGCACTGACTGGAGTGGACTGTGGAGTTCTGATAGGGCAACTTCTTTAAAACTGCTAAACACTGTTGCTTGGAATCCGGTTATCTCGACAATACGTTAGATTCCTAAATTTTATTTTAATGTTGTTCGTCTGGTAGACTAATTTAAAACACTAGACACGTATTTTTCTTTTCTCACAAAATTAAATACTTTCGACGATATATTATTTTGAAATGTCGTATGACGTCACAATGTGCTAATTTTATAGCACATTGTGACGTAACCTTCCACTCCTAAAATTAACGCCATTTTATCTAAGTATTGTAACATTTTACGAGAAAATGAAAAACACGTCCCTAATACATTTCATCATTTAACAATAAATAATAATCTATTGTTACTTTATTTCCAGTGATCGCTACAAAGTCTTCTTAGATCTTTTCAACCTGTCAACGTTCCTGCTACCTCGCTCTCTGATACCTCCACTAGATGACAACATGAAGAAAAGCCTAACCCTAACATGGGGCGACAAAGAAAATGGACAAAACATGCAAAATGGTGCACATTCCCAAAATTCCCAAAAAGAAACGAACGGCGAAGGTCCCGAAACAACATTATGGCAATAGAAACGTGTATTAGAATTTAATTTCGTCGTTTTAAGGTGTTTTTTAGAAATTGTGACACGCAATTTATTTTTTAGTTTATAGAAACCTTGTTTGTAATATAAAATAATGAGGGTTACCGTTTTTGCGGTTCCTAGATGGCGCCACTGTCGTTTATAGTCTGTCAGAGATTCGCTACAAGACTACTGGTCGAAACATGTTTACGGAAGATCCTAATGGCTAAATAAAGAGCGGTAGTCCTCATTTAACAAGCTCGAATAGTAAATTTTAGGTAACACTTAAGTTTAACGCTGCCTCTGTAGTTTTAAGATCTGCATTAGTTAATTGTTGGTAATTTTTAAAACATCAAACATCTACTATAAAATGAAGTTGGATTACTAAGCATTCTAAACTTAAAGGATTAACATAAAAGCCTAATTTCTACATAAATATTTACAACTTAAAATTAACTACAACTAAACTATTAAATAAAACGAAAGCCTAATTTTAATTGATTGAAATGCAATTTGATAGGTGTTTAATTTTTATAGAAAACTAGCTACTATTTGTTCGCGTTACCGTCAGATAAAAGTACCCTTTGTGTTATTCCATACCAGAATTTACCCCTGTACCCTTTTTATTTTTAGATGACTGGGGGAAACCTTCATAAAGTGCCTAGTTCTTTGGGGTGAAAGACTTAGGAAGTGTGGGATTCGTACCTCAGCACCTGTAAGGGGTATCGGGTCTTCTGAAAAGACCTGCTCCGGAGCCCCCACGGTGCAACGGCAAATAATTAACCCCTGTACCTAATTTTATCCCGATCCCTTCAGCCAATATGACATGATTGAATAACAAACACAAAAACTTTAGTTTTTATAATATTAGTAAGATGTCCTGATACCCTGAAAATAATATTTATTTCAATCTAATGATCAGATAATAATTTTCGTTTACTGTTTGCTGGAATTGATACCATTCATACCAAATACTTTATTATAATTATGTATTTTTAAATTATGACAACATATTAATGTAAGAAATCTCGAATTTAATGCAATAATGTATGTACCTATCCTGCAATTGGGTAGTTTCCAGGGTATCAATATTAAAAATCTAATCAGTCCGTCAGTTAGATAATTAAAAAAATATTAGACACGTATTTTTTTTATTTTCTCGTATTAAGTTGCAATACTTAGATAAAATGATGTTAAGTTTAGGTTCTTTACGTCATAAAGTGCTACAAAATGTGACACGCTGTGACGTCATACTATATTTCAAATTAATATATCGTCGAAAGTATTTAATTTTGTGAGAAAAGAAAAAATACGTGTCTATAGTTTAAAATTAATGTACCAGACGGACATTAAAATAAAATTTAGGAAACCACCCTATTTGTCTTTGATAGTTATACAGGATACATATTTTGATGTTATGTTTTAAGGAAAATAAATGGAGTCGAACTAGCTTGTAGTTTTATTTGTGTCAATCAGTACAAATAATTATATCGAAAGGGACATGGACAAAGATGAATATTATTGTGTTTTCAGCACAAAGAAAGGGTCCAGAAGTTTTATTGAGGGCGGATAATCATCGAATGTCTTCTCGATCCCGCCTTGGGTTAGGCGAGAAAGTGTCAGACACTTACTGAGTATCTAAAAAAACCCTGTTCGTACTCTTGTTTCGATTTTGAGCCCAGGTTGTCCACAGCTCCGGGTAGGGTCAATAACTGAACTATATTTTGGAGACATTGTTTTCCAAAAACAAACATAGCCTAATAAATTAATTATGAATACGATTGAATACTATCTTCATAGTTGGTTTACTAAAATCGCGGGTTACTAACGTGAATATACTGAGAAAAGCTCTACTAGTTTCGAACCACAGAGGGGTTCTTCCTCATGAGCAGCGTGTGCGGTCGCGGCGACGTCGCGCAGCTCACTGATTCAGTGTCTTCTCTCTCTCAGTATATTCACGTGAGTAATATTATCTAAGTACGTCTCACGATAGTTATTTAAAATAAACATCTTCAAAGTTTCTTTAACTCGTCGAGTACCGTCATTATAGACACAATTATAGAACAATAGGTTGCGGTCACCGGTGAACGCTTGGTGTTTGACAGTTTAAGAAATAAAAGACTTGCCATATAAATGCATAAGCATTTTGCCATATATATTTCAATCTCACAATGTATAATAATAAAAATAAATAAAAATTTTTTCTATACACTCTGTACATAACATTTCTTGTATATTTCCACCATCTTTCAAACCACTAAGCTGGCAATACCGAGGGTTCAATAACCTTATCATTAGTATAAACACCAAACTTGTAGACAACGCGGTGATCATACTCTTCGCCAGGGTTCAAGATGCTGGTGGGGAAGTTGGAATGATGAACGGCATCTGGGAAAGTTTGGGTTTCAAGACAGAAAGCCCCGTGGCGTCTGTAACCAGCTCCATTCCTGCCTATTAAAGCTGGTTCAGATGGAGAGGGGAGGAAATTGGATGTGTAGAATTGAACTCCTGGCTGGTTGCTGTGTACTTCCAGGAAACGGCCGGTAGTTGGATGGGTGACCACTGCCACGAGGGACAAAATCTGGAAATTGTAAATAAGTAAATTGTATTTGTATCCTGTGGCAATCACATTAATATGTGATTATCGCCAGTCCACAAAAGTCTGTGAGGGTTTACAGATTTCTTTTTGGACTTCTTAATAGCATAGGAGGTGATCGAGGAAATGGATGACCTGATGGCATGCGGTCAGCGCCGCTCATCTCACAGACATAAGTAACATCAGAGGAGTTGATGTAGGATTGTAGTTGGCGGAGGATCTTTTTAGTGGTGGGATTATGACTTCTGTAAAGTCTTTATAACAATAACCATTAGTCTTAAATCTAAAACATCTGACAACGTGTGAAATATAATAGCTATACATTCAGCCGGATTTGATTGAGACTCCAGACCAACCGCAAACTAATTGTGGAAGAATAAAAAAGATCTGTAATCAGGGAGAGAATAAAGATTTTAACTAACCGATGGGCCCAAAGTATTGACGCAGAAGTTGTCATCAAATAGGTTCTGTCCTGCTGCCATGGCATCACCCAGCTTCTTCATCAGCGTGAAGTCGAACGGTGTGTTCCGAACTATGGAAAACGCACCAGTTGGGATAGAGTTGGAGTTCGTTTCGGTGATCCTGCAAAAAGGAGTTCTTTAATAAAGAGTTTAATTTAAATAAACCATAATTAATTATTGGTACACATATGTATGTACATATTAAACCCATTCCGTAGTTCATGTCATAAGGGCGAGCATTTCGTTAAAGGGTGTGCCCGTACAAGTCATCATTTAAAATTAAAAGTTCAAATAGCACATTATACTTCGCCTTCCGTTGATGAAGCACCCTATTATGTGGCACAACTGGCTTTAAGTCACACTAAATATGTGCGTCTCTAGTTGCCATCCGGAAAACAAGACAAACAGCTATCAAGTCACCGTGGCCCAGGGTGGAAGCAGGAGTTGGATCGTAGTGAATTTTAATCAGCAAAATCCTTACACTTCCTCTCGCCTCACCAAGGGTGGGAGGAGCCATTAGTTAGATGAGTAATTCTACCCTATCAAAAAAATTCAAGATACATACTTATCAGCGTTAATGGAGACCATGTGATTGTACAACTCCTGCGCACCAGCATCATCTCCAGCCAAGTTGAAGTACGAGTGGTTAGTTAAGTTAACCACGGTTTTCTTTGTAGTGGTTGCCTTGAACTGGACGTGTAACTTGTTATCGTCCGTCACCTCATATGTTACGCTGGTGACCAGGTCCCCAGGGTAACCTTCCTCCAAATCCTTGGAGTAATAGGTGAACACCACTTTGGTACCCAGTAGAGTAGTCTCCCATACTACCTGGAATTTATTTATTATTTATGTACACACATACAACACATATAAAAACGAAGTACATAGGTTCTACATATTCCAACTGAAATTTCTTCCTGTGGACAGAAGGCAGAAGCAAAAGAAATAACGACACCGAGACACAGTGTGTTACAAACTTTAATAAAACAGGGTAAGTAAAAAAAATCAATAAAAAAATAATAACAAGCAAATTAAAAGTAACAATATTGATAAATAAAATAAATCAATATAAAACAATTGAGATAAATAAACAATAAATACATATATTTATACATATATAAATAAACAAGTAATATTGAGAAGCTAGTCTAGGTCTAAAATTTTACAGTTATTTTCAGTTCTATCAAGTGTATTTTTTTAAGTAAGGATCGATAGATAAAGAGAATAATAACTTTTTTACTTTACCTCGCAATAATTTTAAAATATTATGATAAGTAATATGGTTGCCCCACATTAAGCTTTCCTCCAGTGTCGTGTGTGACTTTACAAACATACAATTTCACGTACACTGACACCCGACCCGGAACAACCATTAGTGGATCGCGCAAAGAATTGCTCCGTGCGGGATTCGAGCCCGCTACACGTTACGCGGTGGCTGGTTGCTAAGAAGTAAGAAAACATAATGTGCTTACCTTATCAAACCCCACAATGCCTCCATGAAGATGGTCTTTTCCAACATTCGCAGCAACATTATAGGTCTTTCCATCTATTTCAAAGGATGCCTTCCCGATGCGGTTGGCGCACCTGCCGACGGTAGCCCCAAGGTACGGAGTATTTCTCTTCACGTAACCCTCAAGGTCATCGAAACCCAGAACTATGTCCTTTTTGACCCCAAACTTGTCTGGAACCTGGAGTTTGGAAAATACACTTGGAAGTAAAGAAACACAGCTATTAACGTTTTTCATTTCTAAAATAAATATTTTTTGAGACAAGTATTTTATGAATTGATAGCGTTTACCTTTAAAAAGAGAGCGATTTGTTGTAAAAGAAATATTTTTTTGAGTTATAGAAGGTTCTATAAACTGAAAGAAGGCTAGTTTTTTTTAAGGTGGGTAAATCATCGAATGACTTCTCCCGCCTTGGTGAAGCGAGAGGGAGTGTCAGACTCTTACTGACTTAAAACCACCCCGTTCCTACTCCTGCACGTCGAGCCGGAGCCACGGTAACCCGTTAAGTTTTCCGCGGCTCCGTATCTTTGCTCTTAAGTGAAGGTTAGTCAACAATGTTATAATTCAGACTTGAAATTCTAAGGGAGTTAATTGTAGTGAACGCCTTTTCAGCTTCAAGAGTTGCTCAATAAAAGGTAGGTACTGTTAAAAACAAATGGATCATGTAGGTCATTGTAGGTACTTGAACTCGACTTGGCATTTGCTTACAGCGATTCTAAGAGACCTGCTCCGGAGCCTCCACGACAACGCCTGTTACGACACATCCCTTGAAAATTAACATTACCTACATAATATATGTATAGAATTCTAAATACCTATAACTGGCGAAAACAGCATCACGCCTTTTTATCCCCGAAGGGGTAGGCTGTTAGGGGTGTTACGGCACTTAATGCCAATGTCATTGTACCTACAATGTAACACCCACTTTTCACTATTTATGTTTTGAGTCCCATGTAATAAGGGGTGAGTCTATAACAGGCAAAAGCAGTGTTTTCGCATACAGAAATAAAACAGTGGGACTAATTAATAAACATCCTTATTTTAAACACGTAGGTAATCATAATGTAACATTTTAGCTCATTAACTCGTGTGCACTTTAACAAAGTACAGGGCCGAACGGAACCGTAATGGGGCCCTAGACTAACAAACAGCAAAGGATATCTGGGCCCCCGGTATTCAATAAAAAATTACGGGGCTGTTCACGAATTGCGTCCGGTGTATGGCATTCGGTTCATATTCTACTACATAGGACTTAACAGGTGAAACATTAGGTGTTACATAGCAGGTATATGAGCAATTGTGGACAACCCCTTCGGTGATTAAAATGCCCTTTGAAACAGTTATTTTATTAAGCACAAAGAAAACGTGTCTAAGTGTGGGAGAGTCATGCTTCGGCATGAATGGACCGGCTCGACCGGAGTGATACCACGGCCGAGCAAAAAACCAACGTGAAGCAACGCTTGCGTTGTGTTTCGTCGTGTGAGTGAGGTTACCGGAGGCCTAATTACCCTCCCCTTCCCCAATCTCCCCAATCCCTGAATCCCCAACGATCCT